CTCGGGGTTCAAACCCAGCATTTCAGGGTCGAGCTGAGAAGCGTCACCCGTTTTCAGCAAAAGGAGCAAGGAGGCTTTGGTCAGTGGCACCCTGCAAACACAGCTCCCGTTGCCTCGGGTCCCGGCTTTCCCTGCCCGTGTCCTGGCACGGGAACAGGAACGCCCGGCCTGTGCTCAGCACAGAGCAGTGAGGCAGAACGAAATATTCCTCTGTGCTGCTCTACCAGGTGCAAAGTGAGCAAAGGGAAGTAGACAGGTGATTTTATAAACTGCAGATCCCCTGAAGAAAAAGGTGTTTCCCTTTTTAATCTTTTATGCATAGCCCATGAGTTTCTCTTCACTGAAGCATTCTCAGTGATGTGTTTAAATGGTTGGATACTTGCCTTTAAAACCTTATTGGAATGAAAAATAGGATTCCCCCCTTCCCTTATGGAAAATACTTATGCTCCTTAATGTCTTTGATGCTTTTCTCAGAGCATTCCTTTCCAACCTGAAAGCTGCCAGTGCTCCTGCCAGTCTGCTTTTCCAGCCCTCAGCTTGCAACCCCATGTATAAGGAGACATTGCAATGAAGATTGCTCCTGAAACTGGACTTAGGTCTGGTTCCTGAAAGGGAAGTCCACAAGGCAGAAGGAGGTGAGCATTGCTCAGGGACTGGTGTGTGGAGATGATGCCTGTGTTACAGTGCTTCTCCCAGTTCCCATGCCCTGATGGGCTACACTACAGCAACGTTCAGTCACAATCCCTCTGTCCATCCTTCCCTCCTCCTTCCTCTGCCTCCTCCCTCCCTCCACCCCCAGGGAGGCTGTCCTAGTGGCTTTTAATTTTTTTTAATTTCTGTTTTCTTCCCCTCCTGGTTGTCTTACAACCCTTAGTCTAGCTGGCCTTGGAACAGACGACAGCCCAGGAGATACAGAGCAGGACCCTAAGCAGCATGATGGCTCAAGGCATCTGGGGGCTCACGCGACCCTTGCTGAGTGGACTGAATGTGAGCAAAATCCGCTTTATTTATCTCTGTGGGGTGACTGGGCAGCATCACACACCAGCTAACCAGAGGTCACAAAGAGGCTTCAGCTCCACACACAAGCTCCGGGATGCCTCTGGGGAATCGAGGTGAGTAAAGTGCTGAATTCTGCCTTGCTGTGCCCAGAAGGGCCTTTTCAGGAGGCATGCACTCAACTCTGCCTTGCTCCATGGACAGGAGAGAGGCCAGTGCAAAATGTGGGTGAGTGTGGGCTAAGCAGGTGCTGGCAGAAGAAAGGTGGTGCAGGGAGCCAGTTTGTAAGAGGTGCTGCTGCTCCCTGCTTCTGGAGCTGTGGAGGCCACAGCTCATGGCCTGTATCCCGTGGACAAAGATGATGATGTGGCACAAGAGTGCATTGGCCACTGGGGCCCGGCCACCAGCCTTTGAGGAATGGGGATGGTACGCAGGCCAGGAGCCTCCTATATTCCTGCCATGGGGAAGCTGGGATAACCACTGGTTTGCCCTGGGAATTGCAATTTCTCCTGGATTTCTTGTCCCTGCTGCTGTAAAGGCAGAGTAAGGAGCTGATGATGTCTGCAGCTCCAGGGAGAAAATGCTCTTTTTAGGTTATGGGAAGCCACGCTGTGAGCTCATGTGCCTGGCTGGCTTCCTCTCTGGGCAGGGAGCTGGAGGAGCTGGCTCAAGAGCTCAGCCACTCAGCTGGTGGCCGTAAGGTGCAGGAGGCAGCTGGAGCCCACAGCACCCGTATCCTGCCAGGCTCCCGAGGCCAGTGGCTTCTGCTGGACTTTGCTGAAACGGCTTGGGCAGGAGGGGATGTGCAGTTTGTCAGGGTGGCTGAGTTTGTGAGTTGAACTCTATGGTGGAAATTGGTCAGAAGCTTGTGTTTAGAAATCCCTCTAAATGTATTTGGTCCCTGCCAGGCTGGAGGACTTCAGCTGGTCATCTGAAAGGGCAGACTGTGGCCTGGTTAGGGGTCGGGTTGGCAGAGTCCCTTGGGAGGCAGTCCTGAAGGGCAAAGGAGCCCAGGAAGGCTGGAGGTTCTCCAAGAAGGAAGTCCCTAAGGTGCAGGAGCAGGCCACCCCGCTGTGCCAAAAGGATGAGGCTGGTGAGAGGCTGCCTGGCACAGAGAACTCATCTGTACTTCTACCCCAGAGTCCTGCCAGTCTGCCCTCTGTCTGCTCCTTAGGGATAATTCAGGAGATTGCATTTCTCTGAGCAAAATAAAGGGAATTTGTAGAACTCCTAGACCAGGACGATCTGTGTCAGACTGGAATCTGCTAGACATTGAGAAAAATACCCAACCAGCATCAGAGAAAATACAATAAAGCACTTTGCTATCTGACCTTAGAGAAAAGTTATGCTGATAACCCTGCTTAATGGGATTTATGAAGACTGGTTATCAATGGGGTTTATTTCTAACTGGTTTGTTGCTTATGAAGTTATCTCTGGCAGTACTTGTGGGCATCTTGCTGTTTTGTATGGCCTTGGAAAGTATGTTTTGGGGAAAAACACTGGCAGGGAGAAGAACCACTTTCTTGAAACCCTGTCTTCACTAGATCCCCATGTCACAGAAAGTTTGAGATTTTTTTTTTTTTTAAGAAGGGAATAATCAGTTGGTATGTGTTGAACTTGCAGTGCTGAGTTTGTCACATCCTGATGTGATCTTTCCAAAGCTCTGACTGCGTGTCCCGTGACAGTAATTCAATGGTAAAATAGTTCAGCCTAAATGGAGACAAATCTAGTCTAATCAATTTTGAGTTGTTTTAGAAATTCTGGTTTGACATTATTTTCTTAACAAAAAGTGAAAGGAATTTTTTTTTATAGTTTCAAAGATGCTGATAAGCAAATTTGAAAGTAAATACGAAATAAAAGCTACAGATTTTCTTTCCAGGCTCTTCTGAAGCTTTGGGTACCCAAAGCAGGTGGCCCCCAGAGGACACCTGAACCTGGGACTTCTTCAGGGCGTATAAAGACAACTAGACCAGTACATGAGTGGGTCTGTGGCAGATGCCTGAAGTGGACAGTGAAAACAGGGAGTCGTCAGGCTGTGTTTGTCCCCAGCAGAGGCACCTATGCTAAGAACACAGACAAACGTCTTAAATCTCCCCTGCAGCCCGCGAGGAGAGAGCGGCTCTTCAGAGGTGCTCTCTGTCATGGTCAGGGGTGCTGCTCTCGAGAAGGCTGAACTGCTGCACCCAGGCTTGTCCAAAGTCATGCAGGGGCCCTGTGGCAATAGAATCTGTACTTCCCTCTGTAACTAACTGGGTACCCTGTGTGCCATCCCAGCTGCAGCTCCACTGTCTCAGGGCTCGTTTACCTGGCACCAACAGTTAAAGCAAGGCTGTGTCCAGGAGGAGTTGCAGGGAACAAATGCCCCTGCCTGGCAGGAGCCTGGTGTGGGGATCTTCCTGGGACTGATGTCATCTGAAGCTCTAGATACCTCAAAGGTAACACAAATGAAGTTTTCTGTCCATCAACATGCCTGCAGCTTTGGGGTTGTTGGATCCAGCATGCTTTGTTGCAAGCAGCCAGCTCATGTTATCCTATTGAAGAATGCACTGAGCGAAGTCCTGTGACTACCATCCTATTGTATAACAAATTATTTCATCCAGATCTGTAAAACCAACATTGCCACAAAACCTGCCTATTTGCCATAAAAGTGGAATAAATGGGTCTAATCCATCGAAATTTAGAGCGGGTTGTTTTCTTTTGACATTTGAGAACTAGTCTTTGAATTGCTGATTTACAGAGACGAGGCTGTGGGTGTCTCTCGGAGGAGACTGACAGGTCTGCAGGATTGGCTCTTTGCCCTTTCCCTCTGCAGCAGGGCCTGGGTGCTGACTTCACTGCTGTGTTCATCACCAGGGGACCCTCGTGTACACTAATGACCCAGGCATTGTTTTCTGCTGAAGCTTTCTGAAAAACAGGAAGCCGGCTCCTCAGATGCAGGCGCAGCGGCCCCTCTGCTCTGCCCCTGCTGCCCGGATCCAGGCGCAGCTGTAAAACAACAGCAGAGAAGGCAAAAAAATAGTGTTTTGTTTCTTTTCTCCACTTCCAAATTTTGATGAAATATGGGGATTGGCTTTTCAAAGAGAGAATTCTATGGACTTTTCTGCACCTGAAGCCTTGCTGATGAAGTCCGTGTGACAACATTTTGGGAAAGGGCACCCTCAGTCCCTGAATGCAGGGCAGGGATTGTCAGCAGGTAAACAGCACTGGATCCAGACGTGATCCTGACTGAGGTGGAGCAAAATGAACAAGATCTGCAAACTGGAACGAGGAGATCACTTCTTCCCCCTTTTCCATTACATTTTTACAGGAGTTCTTTCCTGTCTCCTGTTCAGCTGCGTGCATCCCCTGTACTCCTCCTCTGCCTCTTGTGGGTTAAGAAAGAACAAGGGAAATAGTTTAAACTTGATCCTTTTGTATTTCTGTGCTTAACATTAAAAGGAAATCAGCAGAGATCTCCACGTGCTGCATTTTCATCTGTCACAGAGCAGAGAGGGATGAGCAGACAGGGTTCAGTCCTTTCAGCTGCTGGTGTTGCTATCCCAGGGAAGTTTCCCATTTAACCAGTTCCTCTTCCCGATCTCTGTGGCCTTCCAGGAGGATGTCTGGCAGAGAGGAGTGTAGGCACTACAGCACTCCCTCAGCTGGTGTGTTTGCTCTAAGGTGTGACTCTCGGGCTGTGCCAGTTTGTGTTTGGTGTATATTGCAAATACATTTGCAAGAAATCAGGAAATATTATTGGAAATTCTCAAGAGCTCTGAGCCATACTTGCTGCTTGATTCACTGGCCCCAGGGCTTCCAGGGGACGTGTTGCTGAGCTTTATACCAAACAGCACTTTTATTGGAAGAAGCTGGACACTGCTTCGCTCAACCTTGTGTAAGTGGGAAAAATCAGGGGATTGTGAGCTTGGCCAGTTCTCACTGTGAAATTCACTTTGTCTTCAAGGCTGTGGTTCTTTCTCCCTGTGCCAGAAGTGACAGCATCATGGCCACGGGGCAGCGCTGAGGCTGCCGGGGCGGGGGGTTTATCTGAGCTGGGGGACACAGGTGCAGCATCCTGCAGATCTGGGGGAGTGGTGGGTGTTGTCTACCTGAGAGAAGAGGGTGGACTCAGCTTCTGCCACCGGAGAATGTCCTGGACTTTGACACCATTGGCACCTGGGCAGTGCCACATTGAAAGGTAACTGGGCAAAATACCCACAGCCTCCAGGGTGCTGCCCTGCTTCAGCACAGGATGTGGGACCTTGGGGTAATGGGGAACTCTTGATTCTAAGGGACCCTTTGGGTAAGTGTACACTAAGAAAAAACACTGTTAGCTCCTGTGCTTCCTCTGGAAGATACAATAGGTGGTTTCAGAATATACTGCCTTGGTGAGACATCCCTGAGACAGCTGCTCAGAGTGGCAGCCTTCTCTACACTGGTGGGTAGAGCCTGCTCTGGAGGAGACCAAGTGGGTGCTGTTCTCCTCTTATTTGTAGGTGCAGATTCTGCAAGTCATTGATGGCCTTATTCTTAGCTCTCTACCAGATTATGTCTTGCAGGCTGTCAAAATAATTAGCAATTTCTCCCAGTCAAGGACCACAAGGATCAGGTCAGAGATTCCTCAGCATGGTTCCTCTATAAACTGTGGCTGAGCGTGTCGCCTCACAACAAGGCTCCTTGTGACTGAGTTCAGGGAAGGAGTGGGAACTTCACAAAAGAACAAGCAGCAGCAAAGCAACCATCATCAAGTAATCCCTTTGGGAAGGGGAAACAAAATGTGAATGACAACTGTCCTTATTGCAATACTAGTACCTGATCCTGAGCACTGCCCTTGTTACACGTCGCTCCATCCACCCCGGGTGCACGTCCCAGGCCCAGGCCTCCCGGGCACCTTCCCTGCCTTTGGTGCTCCCCCCGCCCGCCAGCTGGGGCAGAGGCAGCGGGTGCAGAGCACCTGCACTCCTCTGTGCACAGCCCAGCACTTATTCTGAGGGGCACTGGATAAAGTGGGAAATACGTTGGGTCAGCTCAGATTTTCCCACCACTGAGAACTGATAATCTGAATCTTTTCTGAGGTTTGTGGCATGATCCTTCTAGGAAGTCTTTGTATGCACATTTCCCTCCAAGTGCCGTGCCTCTAGCACTCAGACAAAAGACCTCAAGAGTGGGTGTGCAGGAAAGGGTGGGCTTCTCTGATTTTTGGGAACTTGTCTTACAGCTCTACAGACCAGGTGACAGTGCATTTTATAAACCGGGATGGAGAGCGACTCACGGCCACAGCCAAAGAAGGGGAGAGTTTGCTGGAAGTGGTGGTCAATCAAAACCTGGCCATTGATGGATTTGGTAGGTGTTGCACAAGGGTATGTGCTCTTAGAATTTATGTATCTGTGCTGTGACCAGTGGGTCTCTGGGAATAGTGCAGATGTAGGCATGGCACTGTGTTCGGGTGAGACCATGCAGCAAGCTTCTCGTCCCCATCACCTGCTTGCTGGGCTGGCTTACCACACTGAGGTGGCAGTGTGACCTCCATGCCATGACTGCTGGGATTTCAGCAGCCTGTATCAATGCATTTGGCTGGTTAGAGCTGATGTACAGAGCTGAAAAGTGGTTGTGATCCTGCCAGGGAAGATGGAGGCTGAAATCTGCATCCATCTGCTGTGTTTTCTGGCATCTCTTCTGACGTGCTCTGGATCTGTTAAAGAACCTTTGCTCACACTCTTCACAAAGATGATCTCTCTCACTCTCTTGTTTTTTCCTGATTTACTGTCTTCTTTCTGCACCAGGTGCATGTGAAGGGACGTTGGCCTGCTCTACGTGCCACCTCATCTTCGAGAAGGACACCTTCCAAAAGCTGGATGCCATCTCAGATGAAGAGCTGGACATGCTGGACCTGGCGTACGGGCTCACCGAGACGTAAGCTGGTAGCAATAGATTCTCAGGGGCAGATTCTCAGCACCTGGCACCTGTTTCCAAGGGGACAGGATTGAGTCTGTATTACAGCCGTGCCTCTGGAGCTGCTTTCTCTTGGGGCACAGGAGACCCTTAACAGGAGCTTTAGTGAAAAGCCAGCCTGGAGCAGACATCCCAATGTGGGTGGGGTATTTCTTCCTTTACGGTGGGAACTGCGGAGCCTCACTTGATGTTTTCTCCTCAGATCTCGCCTCGGCTGCCAGGTGTGCCTTAAGAAGTCCATGGATGGTCTGACAGTGCGGGTCCCCATGGATGTATCGGACATCAGGGGGCAGGTGGAGGTTGGAAAGCAGAGCAAACAGTAACTGGGAACAGCTCCTGCACAACTCACACCCTCGTTTTCGGGGTGGGAGGGTACTCCTCTGCTTTTGGTTAACACTATTGCTCTTTGTGGCCGGCTTGCAGGAGACCATAGAGGTCTGACTCAGTATAAACGCCTGTTCAGAAAATCTCATTTAAAACAAGCTTAATGCGGGGGTCTTGGGTACGTGTTTGAAGTGAAGCGCTGAAGTGCTCTGCGGAGCGCTTCGGGACTGGGGTGTCTGGCTCCTCCCTCCCCGCGGGGGCAGCGCCCAGCCGGGCTGCGTGCGGCTCGCCCTCCCGTGGAGACCTAGGGGATTCGGCTGCTCTAGGGAACCGCTGGGAATACTTGGGAGGCTCGGCTCTTTAACTGTAGAGCGGATCTTCTCCAGCTTGGGAGGCTCCGGGAGGGAAAGCTGCTCGACATAGAGGGTGCCGTGCTGCCTGGCGTGCTGAAGTGGGTTGGCAGGGGCACGCTGGTCACCATCTGAACGCCAACGTTCCCCCAGAGAGAACCGTGTCCTGCGGGTCAGAGCTGGGCCAGGGCACCCAACTGTTGTGTGCCATCATCTGCTACTTTCTCCAAATATTAGATTTTCCCATTGCTGTACTACCACATATGTCAAATAAAACTCGTATAATCAGGATTTTAGAACTATGGGATGCATTTATCTTCCTTGAGAGCTGTGATGATGCCCAGCGGCCTCTCTGGGTGGCCCAGTGGCCCTATGAGTTCTCAAGCACAGGTGAAGAGGGGCACCCTTGAAATGCTGGGTTTGAACCCCGAGCCCCGAATTTAGGCTAATGTGGGTGATTCCCACAGCCCTTCATACAGAGGTGCTGAGTTTGCCTTTCAGCTCCCCCCAGGGTGCGGCCGGCCCTGCAGGGAGAGCCAGAAGGGAAATGAGCCCCAGGGGTCCTGCATTGAGTTGACAAAGGTCAGGGGTCTGCTGGGGGATAAAAGCTGGGACCACTGGCAGGGAGTCAGGAGTGTCTGTCTGTGGAGTGCACTCCCCAGAGCTTCCTGGTTCAGGGCAGATCTCCTGACTCTCCTGGAGCTGGGCCCCAGTCTGTTCAGACCTTTGTGAATGGGATGATCAGGTGAGAGGCACTCTGTGGGCACCTTTCTCTGATGTGTTCAGCTTGCTGCTCTGGCTGTTTCCCATGCCAGCTGTGGGCACCCTCTGTTCCCTGTTCATACCCCCTGTTGTGGGCAGAGTTGTGTCTTTTGTGGGATCGTTGGGGGTGGTGTCAATTATGTGCCAGCTGATTGACTTGTTTGTACCCCCAGTGATCATTCATGCAATGTCCTTTTTGCTCACAATACAGTCTGTGTATTGGTTCATCTTCCTGCTGGCTGTATCATTTTTGTTGGGCCTGGTCATTGGCAGAACAACCCTGTAAATCCTGGCTGTAGCCTTTGGCATCCTCTCTGGTCCATCACACAAAATTCAGTACACAATTTTATCCGTGGAAACTACCAGAACCTGTCTGCTGTGGAAACAGTGTGGTCCAGAGCCACTTGCTGTAGCGTGTGAGTTGCAGCAGGGTGGATTTTTTGCAGGGTCCCAGCCCTGTTTTGGGACCATGGATGTGGTGGTGTACTGGGGCTTCAGAAGCTCTTGATTGGCATTTCATGTAAGTCAGTGCCAGGCCAAACCTTCTACAGGGTTGTACAGGTTGTTGCTCCACCTCAAACTTCTCCAGGGTGTGCCTGTTCCTCCCAAACCCATTCTCCCCCAATTTGCCCTCGGTTTACCAGAATAAAGCCAAGAGAACAAAACTCAATTCAATGAAAGCAGTAAAGCCACTACCCTCAGTACCACTTCATGTCTCTCCCTGCTGCTGCCACTCTCCCTTTGCAAAGCAGAGACCATCAGAGCCTTGCAGTCCCACACCTCGGCCCCTCCTGGCTGTCAGTTCGAAGCTGGACACAGGCTGCAGGATGCCAGTTCTGTACCACAGGCCTGGCACAGGCTGGCGGGAGGGCGAGGGACAGGGCAGCTGCTGGCTTGAAAGGGCTGGGTGACTGTCACATTCCTCCTCAGAGTGTGGATGACCTTTGAAGAAAAATGGGTTGGTTTGCTTTGATATATGCAAGTGTGCTGGCAGAGACGACCCTGCACAGACAAGCTACTTTCAAAGGATGGGGGAGGATGTCTTGGGAGACTGGCCTTCCTGTCTCTGTTGGGATCTCAGAAATGGGATTGAGGTGGTGGAAATAAACTACAGCTGCCCCAGGCCCTTCCACCATGGTTTCTGTCAGCTGCAGGGTAAGGGAGCAAATCATAAATACCAAGCAGAAATGAGAAGAGGCTGAAGTGCATGAGTCAAGGCAAATGAGATGGACTTGTCTGGCCTCGATCTGTGCTAGAGGCAGATCCTCACGGCCCCTTGCTCCCTAGGTGGCAACCACACGACACGTCTTCCTGAGTGACTGTCTGCTGGGACGCTGGGTAGGGCTTTCAGTATGTGTCAGGCCAGCGTGGACTAAGTCTCTCCTTTTGGTCTGAAAAAGGGCAGAGAGAGGAAAGGGAAAACTATTTGTGTCTGAGGGCTTTACAGCAAGGGAAAATGTGGCCTATCTGGGGCAGAAAGTGAACTGCCCCGGGTAGCGTGGTGACCTTCTGCCAGGCCCTGGCAGGAAAGCGGGGTGCTTTCACAAGAGTCAAGTCAGAATTTGGGCAGTTTATACTTCTGGCCTTGAATTTCCTGGGGTTAAAAGCAGCAGTTTGGCACTATTGTTTAGCAGAAGGCAGGAGCTCCCAGGACCTTTGTCATCTCCACAGGGACTGTGGCTAGGATCTGGGGGGCCTAGGGGTGGGGCATTACATTAAGGCACTAACCTGTTCCTCAACTACATGTAGAGGTGCTGGATGGCAGCACACCTCACAGGTTTCCTGGTCTGCTATCTGGGATTAATTGGCTACATGGATTTTGACGGCTTGGACGGAGGTGGAACATTTCTGCTAACGTCGTGGATGAAGGATTGGGTGCCAAAATGCAGGGAGCATCTTAGTCTTCAGCAAGCTGGACTCTCAGAATTACATTACTGCCTGGGCTCAGGGAAAAGCAGTTCTGCATATTTCCAGGCCCAGGCCTGGAGGTAAGCAGGGTCTCTGTGCACTTGTGGAGGCCAAGTATCTCACTGCTCTGTGCAGCACCATGCCTCTGCTGTGCAGCCACATGCTCCCTAAGGGGCCAGTGGTTTGTGCTATCTTTTCTGATAAATTTTGGAGGATTTTGTTTTGTTTTAAATGAAGAAAAATTATTAACAGATAGTTTGGTTAGAGCAGGTATCCAGGGAAATGCACCCATATTAGGTAGCCTAAGATACGAAGAGGAAAACGTGTGTTTTGTCCTGCCTCTCTGAGTGTTTCTATAAACTAACCTCTTTCTAGCTTGCTCATAATTCTTCTAGGTGACGCAGATCATGAGCTCTTATTTTGCATTTGGTCCAGGTCCCCCTTGTTTGAACTGAGACCAGCCCAGCCACTGAGCCAGTTTACAATCCATTAGCATGTTTAGAAAACAGAATAATCTCTCTTCCAAGTACAGACAGACTTTTTCTCATAATATTTAGTGCTGTTTCACTCTCCTGAAAAGACAGGATAATGCCCGAGCTGATGTGCTGGAAGAGTGCCCCTGGTCAGCGTGGCCAGCCTGGCAGCTCTGGTGGGAAGACTTGTATTTCACAGCACAGTTTGATGCCTTGCAAACACCACCACTCAAGCACATAAGAGATGGAAAGAGAGGGAAGTAAGAGCAAGGGAACCAAAGGTGATCACTGCACCACAACAACAAACAAACTTGTGTGTCTTTTATTGAAATAGTTACAACTGTAGCTCTGGAAAACAGACTGTGAATGCCTCCTCAGTGTTCCTGTGTGAGGGAAAGGATGGTGGGGGGTTGTAGGATGACTATATACACCTTTCGTTGTACCAGGACCACCAAGGTGATGTGGGACAGAGAGTGGCACATCTGAGAGTCACAACACCCTACATGTAACATGTCAAACTCTAAGCCCTTGGAAAGTGGGCTCTAAGCTCTGCCCCCTCTGCCCTGCCCTGGTGTGAGTTTGAAGTGCTGGGCCAGCTCCCTGGCACTATCTCAGGCACCTGGCAGAGAACTGGAGGCATCTGACACCTACCAGATGATTGTACAAATTCCCTCCTGTGTGAAAGGACTGAACCATGGCAGGTATCAGTCCAGGAATGGCTATTTGCAGACACTTGGCACCTTGCAGGGAGCACTTGTTCCCCAAGGACTTCCTTTCAATCATTAGGAGATTCACGTGTGCCTCTTGTCCTTCACCCACCCACTGTTAATTGAGTAAAGGGTTAAAAAATTGAGAAACCACCTTAGAAAACTTGGAAACCTCATGTAACTTTCAAATGAAACATCCTGAACCTTTTAACCTTTGAGACTTTTCTCATCATTTTCTTGGTGCCCGGCGAGCTAACGTGGTGCTCCCAGCTTCTGTTCGGAGCTCGGCTGGCAGCATCACAGCCCTCCAGCTCCCATGAGGGCTGTGGCGCCTCTGAGCACTGGACTGAGTGGCGTCACTGGGATGCTCCAAGGGTCCCCTGGCTGCATTGCTTTAGTGGTGTAACACCAGCAGCCTGCTTACAGCATCCCTGCCTGACACTTTGCCAGACATAACTGTGCTGGAGCACGCTGGCCGTGTCCTCTGCTGAGCAGGGGGGACTCAATGCTCCTCTGAGACAGCACCAGCACTGCTGGAGCCTGGACAGTCTCAGCTTACGGACTGTCTGAAAACTTTCTGGCCAGACAGGGCTTTGCTTCAGCATCTGCTCAACAACATTCTTGACAACTTCCACAACTCCCTGACCTCATGCTAAAGCCAAATCCCATGCTAAGTCCCTCCCAGCATGACTAGGAGTCTGATTAGCTGCCCCATCCACACTGCCTCTGGAAAGGGCCTTCTGAAATGACACCATTTACAGATATCTAATGTCACCTTTTACTAGGACTAAAGGATCAG